AACCATTCTGGAGCGACTACGCAACGCAAAGTTCACAGCCACACTTGACTTGAAAAATGGCTAGTTGTTTTCTGTGCAAAGTTTGGTGTCTCCAGCTCTTATAGTCTCTGAGATCCAGGTGTTCATACGGACAGACAGACACCAGATATATTTATTATATGTTTCACCTCCCGCAAACCTAATACAATCTTGTGCATTTCATATACAGTATAATAATAATAATTAAAACAAGAGAGAACGCAACAGTCGAGCAAGCCCGACAGTGAAATACCCTGTACCCAGGTAAACTTCCGACACTGACACTTCCGACATTATGCGCCAATAGCAGAAGCAAAAAGAGGAAGAAGAAGAGCGAACTTGTTGCTGCAGTTTGGGGGGTTGTACTGGAGAGAATTTGTTTCGCTAATAACTTTTCTTAGAATTGACCGAATTGGATAAAATTTGAGGGAAAATTCAAAAACATAAAATAATCTCGTCCTTTCTCGGACCTAGGAGAATCTGGAGACCAACTTTGGTTGTTTCAGCTTTTATAGTTTCTGAGATCCTTGCGTTCATCCAGACGGACGGACAGGCAGAAGGAGGCGTGGCAGACCCCAAAGTATATATATTCTAGATCAGGATGACAAGGCAAGTCGATATAGCCCTGTCCGTCCGTCTGTCCGCCCGTCTGTATGAACGCAAGGATATCAGGATATTAATTAAATTAATTAAATTTTTTTATTTTCTTTTTTTTGTGGAAAGTACAGTGTATTTTACTGTCGGGCTTGCTCGACTGTAGTGTTCTATCTTGTTTTATCTTGCTAGCTGACCCGGTGTCACGAATAGCAGAATAGTTATTGAAACAAAAAATAATAAATTAAAAAATCGAATGTTAGACGTTAACTAAGTATTAACAAGTCGCAAGGGCAAACCTTTGAATTAGTAGGGATCGACCTACGGTAGGAATGTTTTACTCATGGCCAACTGTATGTTGACCTATAGCGGGTCGGAGCTCCTGACAATCAATATATTTTAGTACCGTAAAATAAAACAACATGAAATATGGATTACTCTCTGACACAATAAAGAATAACAAAACAAATCAACAAAATAATAATTTCCGAACTTTGTTTATAATTGAACTTTTTTTTTAGTACCTTATAACAAAAGGAAACTTAGCATACAGACTCATAATCACTAACTTCCAAAATACACATTTTCTGCGTATTCACATAAGGCATCTGGGACTTAAATCAGGTGTCCCTAGCTATTATAGTCTCTGACATCCAGGTGTTCATACGGACGGACAGACCCACAGACAGGCAGGGCTAGATCGACTCGTATGGTCATGCTGATCAAGAATATATATATGTACTTTGTGAGGTCTCCCACTACTAGAATTGTATAGATAACTAGCTTTCCGCCCCTGCTTCGCTCGGATATTTTACAAAATTTAAAAAAATTATAAATTAATAAAACCCACACTCACATATACACCCTTCCTTTTGTTATGAGTTACTAAAAAAAGTAAAATTACAAACAAAGTATGGATATTATTATTTACACGCATATGTATGAACAGAGTATTTCATCTTAGAGGCTATAAGAGGTAGAGACACCAAACTTTGCACAAAGGTGCGTTATGTGTGTACGTTGTGCAAGTTTGTTTTATTTTTTTGATATTCCCCCCACTTCCCTCCTATGGTGGTTTTTCCGATTTTCCGTTCACCTATATATCGGAGAACATATAACCTAGGGACACAAAAATGTAGTCCAAAATGCCTTATGTGAATACGCAGAAAATTTGAATTTTGTAATTTCCTTCCCTCCGCCCTTTTCCACGCAATTTTGGAATTTCGAACTCAAATTTTGTAAATCGCCCCAGTTAGTGATTATGTGTCCATCCGTATGCCAAATTCCACTATGATAGACCGAATTAACAAGAAATTATAACCATAAATATATTTGCTGCCCAAGCGTTGCCCGCAGCTGTTGTTGATGCTGATACTTTGGTAACTGCAAACATGCTCACACAGACACGAATAGACGCGCATAGACATTCATGCACTCTCATAGACGCAATTTCTTTGTACAGTGAAAACTCTTTTGGCCGGACACTCACGGTCGGCCAATTTTTGTCTGCCCAAGGGGAGTGTCCGCTTAAGGGGATACTTAAATACTTTATACACCGATCGAATGTTTTTAGAAAAAGTGTCCGCCGAGGAGAGTGTCCGGATAAAAGAGGTGCCCATTCTAGCACCTATTGCTTATTAACCTTTCAACATTAGCAATTGGAATCATTGTTCTTGGTGTAAATTTTCTCCACAAACTGGTTATTGGTAATGTAGATTCCTCTAGGTAGATACACCAAATTTAAAGGGCCTTCAAAATTTTCCTCTCACCCGTTTCCTCTGATGGTTTAAGATAGTGATGTAAATATGCATCTATACATCGATGTATCGATTTTAACGTAAGCGATTGTTTTCGATTTTAGATCGATGTTTTTAGATTCGATATTTCGATCGATTTTTAAAAATATCGATGTTGCGGACATTCCTAAGCGGGGAAATCCCAGCAAATACACAAAAGTAATAAAACTGTGATATGCCTTGTATCAAAGAAAGAGCTAAAGAACTGCTAAGAAACCATGCCAAAGCAAGTTGTTATAAATTCGAAGCCTAGCATAACTTTAACGAGCTAGCAGGAACCCTACAATGTTTGTTTGTTAGTTGGGTTTTGGTTCGCATCACGCCGGAACCATTAAGGCTGACTGAAATTTAAAAAGCGTGGATTGTTAAAACTAACGGGAATTAACATGTGCGTATGTACGTATTTTACATGATGTGAATTCATGTTAATGCAAAGGTACGCCGCTAGCTTCTTTTTATACCCAACCAAAGGGCACAATAGTTTCGGGCGCATACTATATAATACACACAGGAGTATTGAACCCGCTTGTCGTTTTCTTTCATCTTTTATTTTACGTTTTCTATGAAAAATCGATGTAAGTTTTTCGATACATCGCTGCATCGATGTTTGTCATAGCGATTTTCGTTTTCGATGTAAAACGTTGATCTTCAATTCAGATTTGCATCACTAGCTTAAGATCTTGCTCGAATTGCATTTTGCATCGGTTAATATATGTGTTATACCTACAATCAAGAAATGTGTAGAAATACATAAAATGTACAAGAGTACATATAATAGGTTTGCGGGAGCTGAAAATGTAACAGGCAGAAGAAGGCGTGGCAGACCCCACAAAGTATATATATTTTTGATCAGCATGACGAGACGAGTCGATCTAGCCCTGTCTATCTGTCCGTCTGTCAGTGTGTCCATCTGTCCGTATGAACACCTGGATCTCAAAGACTATATGAGGTAGAGACACCAAACTTTGCACAAAGACGCGTTATGTGTGTACGCTGTGCAAGTTCGTTTTATTTTTTTGATTTTCCCCCCAATTCCCCCTATGGGGTTTTTCCCGATTTTCCATTCGTATTATCGCCTATATCTCGGAGACTATAAGGCCTAGGAACACCAAATTTTAGTCCAAGTGCCTATTGTGAATACGCAGAACATGTAATTGGAATTTCCTCCCCCCTCCCTCTCCCACGCAAATCGTAAATCCCGTAATTCCTGGAATTTCGAACTCAAATTTTGCAAATACCCCCAGTTAGTGATTATGTGTCCGTATGCCAAGCTTCATGATAGGTCAATTCTGAAGATAGCTATAGCCATAAATAAAATCGCTGCCCATGCTCTACCTGCAGCTCTGTCCGTAGTTATTGTTGTTGCTGCTGCTTTGGTTCGACTTTGTGGTGCAAACATACACACATATAATCACATAGAGACACGATTCTGATGTAAATGTAAGCTGTTGATATTGTACATAGACACTTATGTATGTATGCATGTGTTGAATATTTTATATTTAATTAATTAATTATTTTTTGTGGAGAGAACAGGGTATTTTACTTTCGGGCTTACTCGTCTCTAGTGTTCTATCTTGTTTATAGATGAAATAAGAGATGAATAAAGAATGAATAAAGAAACACAGAAAGATTTCTTAAGAAGGGTGATAAGAATCTTCGACACTGTTAGGGGTGAAGTCCTCGAAGCATATGCTCTATATAGTTAGGGATAATGGCGCGATCAGACATTCTTTTCTCTTGGACTACTTATATTTAATGTATGAGGTTCTTGTAAGTTTTTACAATGATACCATCTAAACACAATAACAAAATTTAAGAATTAATGCCACAGTATGTACAGGGAAACTGCACACAGAAGTATGTACTACACGAATATACATATGTTGACCAATCTTGCCGTTGACGCTTATATTTACCCGTTATGGACATTATAGAAGCCTCGGTGGCGTAGTGGATAGCACATGCGCACACCAAACAAGAGGTCGTGGGTTCAAGCCTCACTGATGGCGAGAGCATGACCCGAATTTTCTCCTCTCTATAAACTCTCCTAAATATATGCCTTCAACGTCTTGGTCATTTAATAACCACCAAAACAGATCCATCCATGCTATCTGGACAACACCAACGGTAACCCCCCCAACACGCCTTTCCCCGGCGGCGAGAGGTGGCAGCCTCACTACTGGGATAAGTTGCATCTGGCCAATCACCACTTCGATTGACAATTCACTGTTTACGGAAACTAATACAAGAGAAATAAATCCAAAAATGGCTCCACCCCGATGACGTCCATAACTCTAAAGGAACCATCCAGGCTATCACAATTTGAAGGAGAAATGGACCTAGCGACGGACCAGGAATTCAGGAATTATCCCATAAGAATATCACATGGGACACAGCTATTCAGACGGCCAGAAATAGAGTTAGATGGAAAGTACTTGTAGAAGCCCTAAGCTCCCAAGTGGAGTAAATAGGAATAAAAAAAAAATTAAAAAAAAGGAAATTATGAATTTTGTAAAAAACCTGCTTCACCCTTAAAACTACAGTTTATACGTCAATAAACCACATTTTATATACATTTTTCTTTTCCAGAGCAACTTGACCGCGTTGAAGAAGGCATGGATCAGATTAATGCCGATATGAGAGAAGCCGAAAAGAATTTAAGCGGAATGGAGAAATGTTGCGGCATTTGTGTACTGCCCTGCAATAAGTAAGTATATCCCGATCTTTTAATGCACTTATAGCATCATGGCCACAAAAACAAGTAAAGAATCGATTTTTATACTCTATACATGAAATACACAAGAGTAGGTATAGTAGGTTTGTGCGAGCTGAAAAATGTAACAGGCAGAAGAAGGCGTGGCAAATCCCACAAATTATATATATTCTTGATCAACATGACAAGACGAGTCGATCTAGCCATGCCTGTCTGTCCGTCCATATGATCACCTAGATCTCAGAGACTATAATAGCTAGAGACACTAAATGTAGCCTTATGTGTGTACGCTATAGGAGTTTGTTTTAGATAACTTCAACGAGTATGCTCGAGTATGTTCGACCACCCTTTGCTTAAAATACAATCAAATCAGATCTTTGCTTGGCTGAAAACGAGTTCGAACGAGTTGAGTACTCTCAGGATTTTGTCTTATGATCGAACTTCAATAAGCAATCCTTCTATTTTTGCGAACGAGCACCGGACTTATTGGTTTGCTTCTGAGCAGGCCAGGCTCCGTACTTCGCGTATTCTGTTCGATGCGAACGAGTACCGGGATTGATTGATTTGCTTTCAAACAGATCAGGCTCGGTCACTTCTTTATGATGACTGGGTCTTGATCTAAACGAACCGGACTTTCAAGAATTAGCTTTTGATCAAACGAGTCGAACAGGTATTGCTCGGTTCTTGTTTTGGAATTGCACGAGTTTTACTCTGGTAATAATCAAAAAAATAAAGCAAATATATACTTTGCGGGGTCTGTCACGCCTCCTTTTGCCTGTTACATACATTCGCACAAAACTAGTATAGCCTTATTGCGTTCATACAGACGGACGGACAGACGCACGAGCGGTCATGGGTATTTCTATTTCTACTCGTCTTCTAATACTGATCAAAAATATATATACGTTGTGGGGTCTGCCACGCCTCATTCGCACAAAACTAGTATAACCTTTTACCCTTTGGGTACAGGCTATAAAAAGAATTTTATGATCATGCAATAATAAAGTGACGTTGACTTCGGTAATGTGCAATCTCCCACTCACTCAAGCTTGGTTTTTAATACCTCAACCTCCAAAGAAAAACACACACATATTTTCATATGAAGAATCCTATTGCTTAACTGAACGTATTCCCACTTGGTTGCTGGTGCCTGAATTATTGGTTTTCCTGTACAAAAATATTGGGCCACAAAAGGACATAGCGTTAACGCGGCCGGTAAGAACTAGGGAAACTGAAATTTCTTTGCAAAATCTACATGTTATCTAACCTCCAAAACTTGGCATTTGACGATTTTCAAAATAAAGATAAAACACATGCAAACAAAGGTAATCCACATTACTAGATCTAAAACTTTGAATTTGACAACTTTTAAAATATACACCTCTATATATATATATATAACAGTTTGTCCTGACTGATTGATTGGTGATCAACGCACAAGCCCAACGGTAAGAGCTAGAAAGCTAAAATTTGGACTCAAGTATCCTTTCATAGCATAGGTGTAGCGTGTATCGTTTTACCGCTTGCTCAGCGGCCGCCAAGGACTGTTCAACTATCTGAGACACGTTCAGTTATTCCGGTTCTAGGTCGTCGGCTTTGAGGGTGGGAATCCATCCAGCTCAGAAATAAATATATCGGGTGCTACTCTGACTATTACATTACAATATTAAAACAGGAAGGCTTGTGGGCGTAAAACCGGAGTAAAATTGTTTCGCTAATAACTTTTCTTAGAATAAACCGATTTAGAAATTTGAAACAAAAATAGATTATTGTATATAAGATATGTGTGCAAAGTTTGGTTAAGGTAGCTTTTGAAATGTGGACGGTATTGACGAAACGCTGTAGCGGTGGAAGGGGGGCGAAATACAAAAAAATAAAATAAACTCGTCCTTTCTCGGACCTAGGAGAATCTGGATACCAACTTTGGTTATTCCAGCTTTTATAGTTTCTGAGATCCTTGCGTTCATCCAGACAGACGGACGGACGGACATGACTATATGTATAAAGAATATATGAATATACTTTATTATTTATTACCCTGCGGGTAAAGGGTATAAAAATAAAGGGAGCGTGCTAGTTGCTAGCTAATAGGAAACTCGGGACAGACCGAGAAATAAAGTAGATATAGAATAGATGTGATGTGCTATATCCACTGCTGTCATTGTGCATTAAATACGCCCACCCAACCGTGGTCATCATTGCCTAACTGAAAATAAATTATTAATATATGTGGATGACACCTTTTTAAAAACCCTACACACACATTGCCTGCATGAGTTCAATGTTGACTTATATTTATTCCATAATTATGTAATAGCTAATAAATAGACAATGGATCATAGGGCATAGGTACAAACAAATGGATTTATAAGCAGCTGTGTTTTTTATGCTCTAGCTGCATTACATTATTGCATATGCGAGCGGAAAAGAAGTATACAACAAGAAAGGAATGCTAAAGTCGAGCAGGCTCAACTTTTAAATACCCTGTACCAGCCCACAAAAAAAAAAAAAACAAAATATATTTTAAAAAATTTAATTAATTCATTAAATTAAATATAAAATATTCCATACATGCATACATACATTTACATCAGAGTCGAGTCTATGCGCGTTTGTGTACTTGTACATATGTGTGCATTACATAATTATGTCAAAGCAGCAACAAATACAGGTGCGGACAGAGTTGAGCTTGGTTTTATGGCTATAACTTTCTTTCTAATCAACCTTTCATAATGAAACTTTCATACGGACATGTAACCACTATCTGGGTGTGACTACCAAATTTTAGTTCAACAAAACTAATATACCCTTTTACCCTTTGGGTACAGGGTATAAAAGAAACTTAAGAGAAATTTGTATAGCCTCTACCCAAAGGGTAAATATATTAGTTTTGTGCGAATGTATGTAACACACAGACACACGTGGCAGACCCCACAAAGTATATATTTCTTGATCAGGATGACAAGACGAGTCGATATGGCCATGCCCGTTTGTCCGTCCGGCTGTCCATCTGTATGAACGCAAGGATCTCAGAAAGTATAAGAGCTAGTATAACCAAACTTAGTATCCGGATTCTCCTAAGTCCGGCAATGTACGAGTGTGTGTTTTTTTTTCTGATACAGATAGATACGATTCTGATGTAAATGAATGCTGTTGAAATTGTACATAAACACTTATGTGTGTATTTTTTGTGAATATTTTAAATTTAATTAAATTTATTAATAATATTAATTAAATTTTTAAAATTAATTATTATTATTGTGTGTACACAAAGGGTGAAAGGGTATACTTGTTTTGTGCGAATGTAGGTAACAGGCAGAAGGAAGCGTGGCAGACCTCACAAAGTATATATATTCTTGATCAGGATCAGGGTACGTCCGTCCGTCTGTGCGTCCGTCCGTCTGTATGAACGAAGTATAAGAGCTAGAACAACTAAACTTGGTATTCAGATTCTCCTAAGACCGACAAAGTACGAGGTTAACGTTTTTTTTTTCGATGAACACCCCACCTCCCCCGAAATTCGTGTTTTTCTCCATAGCTTCCGTAATTTTTGGAATTTTAGTCAAATTACTCAAGTACTCAAATATGGCAAATACCTCCTATTACGACAGATCTGGCATCGCTTTAAGATGTCATCGATAATAAGTAAAACCGATAATGGAAAGTAGGGACTGGAAGCGGCTAGCGCTACCATAACCAAGAAACCACGTTGGCTTGTTCTTTTTAATTCTGCAGCGAGAGGAAGCGGACTAAAAGTAAGAACAGGCTTTAGATCATAAGGATATTATAATTTTGTAATTCTGTAGGAATTTAAAGTGTCGCCCAGGCAACTCGCCCGAACGACCAGGCAATTGTCGCAAATCCACCAACTCTACTTGAGAGTTTGTTAATAAATATTCGCCTACATCAACACCAAAGGTTGTTCGTTATTTGGGCTGCGCTGGGAAAACTCGAATTGCCGCAACACCTCCAGTTAGTGATTATGAGTCCGTATGCCAAGCTTTATCATGATAGGTCAATTATGAAGAAATTTATATCCACATATAAAATCACTGCACATGCTCTGCTTATAGCGCTGCTCGCAGCTGTTGTTGTTGTTGCTGCTTTGGTTCAACTTTGTGCTGCATACATACACGCATATAAACAACCAGAGACACGATTCTGATGTAAATATATTCTATTGAAATTGTACATAAGCACTTTTGTGTGTATACGCATGTGTTGAATAATTTATATTTAATTTTATTTTGTAAATTAAATTAAAATTAAATTAATTAATTAATTTTTTTTAAATATTTTTTGTTATACCCTGCACCCAAAGGGTAAAAGGGTATATTAGTTTTATGCTACCCCACAAAGTATATATATTCTTGATCAGGATGACAAGACGAGTCGATATAGCCATGCCCGATTGTCTGTCCGGCTGTCCGTCTGTATGAACGCAAGGATCTTAGAAAGTATAAGAGCTAGAATAACCAAACTTGGAATCCAGATTCTCCTAAGCCCGAGAAAGGACGAGTTTGTTCATTTTTCCCGATGCAACACCCCCCCCCCCACTCCCACACTACTTACGATTTTTTATAACTCCCGGAATTTCTAACTAAAATTTGGTAGTCACATCCAGTTAGTGATTATATACCTGTATACCAAGTTTCAATATGATAGGTTGATTAATAACCAAGCCCAAGCTCTGTCGCAGATGTATTTGTTGCTGCTTTGACATAATTATTTAATGCACACATATATACAAGGTGCGTTCCAAAGTAAACAGGACTTTTTGAATCTAGCGCCCCCTGGTGGCGCTATCTATATGTCGACTAGTGCGTTAGGATCTGCTATCGATAAACGATTGTCCAGTGATTTCATGACATTTAATCGATTGGAAGTGAAGTTATTGCGTTTTAAGTGTCAGATTAAATTTTGTTTTAAAATTGGTAAAACTTTTACCGAAACGTTTTAACTGATGGAACAAGTTTATGGCGATTATTGCCTAT